ACTAGTAAGAAAATTGAATCAGTAATCAAAAACCTTCCAACAAAGAAAAACCTGGGACAAGATGGCTTCACTGGTGAATTCTATCAAATATTCAAAGAAGAATTAACACTATTTCTAATAATGAGAATTATTAGATTATAACTCTAACATTATAACACTATAAATTATAACACTAACACTAATAATGAGAATTAACTCCTCAAACCCTTTCAAAAAATTGAGGAAGAGGAAACACTTCCAAAGTCATTTCTTTGGGCTACTATTATCCTGATATGAAAACCAGAATAGACACTACAAGAAAAGAACTACAGACCGATATGCCCTATGAATATTGATACAAAAATTCTCAACAAATACTAGCAAACAAAATTCAACAGAATGCAAAAAGATTATACCAAGGCCTAAGGAGATTTATTCCAGGAATGCAAGAATGGTTCAACATATGAAAATCAATCAATGTAATACACCAAATTAACAGAGTGAAGGGATGAAAAACCCATATTTGATCATCTCAATTGATGCAGAAAGTAAATTTTTACAGTTCAACACCCTTTCTTGATAAAAACACTCAACAGGGGCTGGCCAGGTGGAGCAGAGGTTAAGTTTGGATGTTCCATTTCTTGGCGGCCCGGGGTGCCCCAGTTTGGATCCCAGGTGTGGACATGGCACAGCTTGGCAATAGCCATCCTGTGGTAGGCGTCCCATGTATAAAATAAAGGAAGATGGTCATGGATGTTAGCTCAGGGCCAGTCTTCCTCAGCAAAAAGAGGAGGATTGGCAGTAGTTAGCTCAGGGCTAATCTTCCTCAAAAAAAAACAAAAAAAAACCCGTCAACAGACTAGGAATAGAAGGAAACTACCTCAGTATAATACAGGCTATAGCTGGGTAAACTCACAGATAACATCATACTCAAGGGCAAAAAGATGAAAGCTTTTCCTCTAAGATCAGGACCAAGACAAAGATGCCCATTTTCACCATTTCTATTCAGCGTGGTACTGGAAGTCCTAGCCAGATCAGTTAGACATGAAAAATAAATAAAAGGCATCAAACTGAAAAGGAAGAAGTAAAAATATCTCTGTTTTCATATGACGTAATCTTATATGCAGAAAACCCTAAAGATTCGCCAAAAGTAGTGTTAAATATAATAAGCAAATTCAATAAAAATGCAAGATAAAACAGCAATGCACAAAAATTAGTTGCATTTTTATACACTAATGATTAACATCCAAGACGAAAATTAAGAAAACACTTCAATTTACAGTAAAAAAAATCAAAGTACTGGGGTAAAGAAGATAGTGATAATAGTTTGGAGATATGATCAAAAAAATAAAATATTTAAGAATAAACAATCAAATAGGTGAAAGATTTGTTCATTGAAATCTGCAAAACTTTGCTGAAACAAATTAAAGAAGACACAAACAAGTGGAAAGACACCTCATGTTCATGGATTGGATGACTTGATATTTTTAAGGTGTCTATACAACCCTTCTCTGAGGAAGATATACAAATGGCTAATAAATATATAAAAAAGATGCTCAACATCTCTAATGGTTAGGGAAATAGAAATCAAGATCACAATGAAATACCACTTCACACTCATTACAAAGCTATTATAAAAAAAAATAAGAAAAGAAAGGAAAAGAAAAGAAAAGAAAAGAGCAAATGTTGGCTAGGATGTAGAGAATTTCGAAGCTTGGTAAACTGCTGATGAGAAAATAAAATAGTCCAGCTATTACTGAAATAATATGGCAATTCCTCAAAAATTAAATATAGAGTTACTATATAATCCAGTAATTCCACTTCAGGGTTTATACCCAAAAGAATTGAAAGTAGGAACAAGATAGATATATGTACATCTATATTCACACCAATATTATTGACAAGAGTCAAAGGTGGAAGCAACCCAAGTGTCGATTCATAGATGAAAGGATAAACAAAAGGTGACTTATACATACAATGGAATATCATTTAATCTTAAAAAGGAAGAAATTCTGACACATGCTACAACATCGATGAACCTTGAAATCATTATGCTAATGAAATAACCCAATTGTGAAAGGCAAATATTGCATGAGTCCACATATTGCAAAGAACGTAGATTAGTTAAATTCATAGAGACAGTAAAGAGAATGGAGGTTAACAGGAACTGTGGGGATGGGACAATGGATAGAGTATTTCAATTTAGGAAGATGAAAAAAAATCTGGAGATGGATGATGGTGATGACTGCACAACAATGTCAATATACTTAGTGCCACTGAAGTGTACACCTAAAAGTGATTAAAATGGTAGATTTTGTGCTATGTATATTTCACACTAATACATAAAAAGTCTGAGAAGAGTAAGAGTTTAACAAATTTATGTAGTTGGTAGGGAGCACCCAGAATCAAGGAACTTCATTCACAGAAACATGATGTTTGTGTGTGAAACAGCAAGGAGATACAGAAAATCCAGAAGCACAGTAAAGTAGATAGTGGTCACAGTTTGGAGATAACATTCCATAAATGTTATGGGACAGAAAGTACTCTAAACTTTCTGAGACCTTTGGATTGTATATAGAAGCAACAGCAGATAAGGCAAGATAATTCCTTAAGAACAATAACAATTAGTTAATAACTTGGGAAATAAGGGACTTTCTTTTTCTATACAAAGTTGATGAAAATATTTAGTAGTCTATACCAATTCTTATCAAACAAGTCACCGTCTCAAGAATTTTCTGGAGTACCTTTATTAGTAATTGTCCTTGGATCTGTGAGGAAAAGTGCGTTCATATCTTAGGATTTTTTTAACTTTGAGCATGAATGTGTGAATGGGGAGCAGGTGCATCAGAAATATGTTGTCCTGATTTTAGAGAAGAATAATGCCTAAAAAGACCACAATGCAAAATTGTACTCATTTGAATGTAGTAAGTACTTCTTGTGTGTATATTTTTTGTATCTATGTTTGTGTATTTGGGAGTAACATCTTTCTCTGCATTTTGTGTGTTTCTTTTGTCAGCTTCTCTTCCACTTCCTCCTTCCTGGACAAGAATTTCAGCCCCTTCCTAGGAGACACTGAAATCATAGTCCTAAAACTTATGGTCAGAGGGAGTTTATGAAATGAGTTTATTTTGAGAGTTGTGCCTTAGGAGACCAAGGGCCAGAAGTCTCAAACTCTATTCTCTGGGGTGAGTATAAAAGAAACTCTCTAGTTCCCATTCCTGCTGGAGATAAGTTATACATTGACCAAGGAATCTAAGACAGCCTTAACCAGAATCTCTCTGCTGATGGGTAAGGGTGAAGGCTTGAAAGGATTTTCATAAGGATGTGTTGTGCATCCTTCATGACTCTGCTATACACACTACTAAGAGTGAGGTCTTTGATGGCAATTTGTGGTATATTCATTACTCAGTAGTCAGGAAATGTGGAGACTGTTTTAATATTTAGCAATTTCTATTCTCTCTTTCATGGCACTAGAAAAATTCAAGTTAGTAAAGGACCTTCACTGAAAATAGACTCAAAAAACAGATGCCAAGGGGTCAGCCTCATAGCCTGGTGGTTAAGTTCGGCACACTCTGCTTCAGAACAGCCCGAGTTTACAGGTTCAGATCCCAGGCATGTACCTACACCACCCATGAGCCATGCTGTTGCAGCGACTCACATATAAAATAGAGAAAGACTGGCACAGATGTTAGCTCAGGGCTGATCTTCCTCACCAAACAAGTAAGCAAAAAAAAAAAAAAAAAAAACACGAAAAAACAAAAGACAGACACCAAAGGAAGCAGCAGGGAACTAAGTCCTGGAAGAGGGACTTCTGTATCTTCTACTGTCAGAGGACTTCTGATTAGTCAGCTTATCAGTATTTTTAAAGATCTTCAAGATATATTTATCACGATTTTGGGGCTTTTACTTTCTCTAGATAGCTTAAATTTAGCGAGGGACTGAACATTTTTATCATTCTTTCCCTATTCTCTTCCTCTCTTCCACACAATCCCATGTTTCTTTCCTCTTACTTTCTTTTTTTCTTCATGCCTTAAGCTTCCCTAAAGTTTTCTCTTCTTCCTTGTTTTCTCTGATTTTCTGTGTTAAAAATGAATTATCACAGGGTCGAATAAGATCCTCTGGCTATTGCTCAGAGTAAGGTTAAAACTTTGTTAATTGCTCCTGACCTGGGAGAGCTGGGTCCATAACCAGTCCTTCCCTCAAACATGGTTACTTTAGCTCCTCTGACCACTGTCTCTCTTGGATGTTCTCCTTGTGTACAAGAACAAGGAGAATCCCTGAGTTCTCTTTGTTGCCTAATATTCCACTGTAACAAAGGGATTCACATTCCTCTAATAAGAAAGGTTTTGGATCTAAACTTGTTCTCTCCTTGTTGAACACCTGTGCCCATCTCAGTTTAAGATTTGTTTGATGGTGTTGATCTGCAAGTCTTGACCGAATGCTTCAGTGAGGAATACCTGTGGGTTTTGGAGGTGACTTTTTCAATTTGAATTCATGTGAAAATTAGTATTAAATGAAACATATTGAAGGCAACTGGCATATAATGTATCATTATATGTGTGTTGTTTTTGTATCTGTGTTTCTTTATGTCAGTATGGCTGTGTGTAGGTATCTACATATTTATTTGCCTTTGTCTTAAGGATTTATGTTTGTCCTCAATATCCTCAATTTGGGAAGTCCTACATTTTATATTAGTCTAGATACCAGTCTTTGCTCATGAAAAAAAAGTACCAGAGTATAGTCTTTTGGTTCAGAACTGCAGAGGATGTTATATTATCTCTCAGCATTGACTATGCTATTAATCATCATAAATGATCTGTCCCTTGGATTCAATTGTGTCCAATATCAGTCAGGAATCTTCCTTTTGGTTTACCCAGTAAAAGAAAACAGATAAGAAACATTATCTTTGCCTTCTCTTGCACCGTAATAAAATAAAAACTAATAGTTTGAGATTATTCTTGCATTTATTTTTTTCTTTCTAGGAATGGACCATATCTTCTCCTATTCCAACCTAATCTATGATGCCCCAGCAAAATATAACCATTTTCCATCCATCTACATTTTTTCTTTTAGGCATCCCAGGGCTTGAGACTGCCCACGCTTGGATTTCTTTGCCCTTCTGCTGTGTTTATTTGATGGCTTTTATTGGCAATGTCACAATTTTCACAGTCATATGGACAGAGAGAACCCTCAGGGATCCAATGTTCTTTTTCCTGGCCATTCTATCAACAATAGATCTGGCCCTTTTCACATCCTCAGTACCACGTATGTTGGGTATCTTCTGGTTTAATGCTCATGAAATTGGCTTTGGAGCCTGTGTGGCCCAGATGTTTCTCTTACACACCTTCACAGGAATGGAGTCTGCAGTCCTGCTGGCAATGGCCTTTGACCACTATGTAGCCATCTGTGCACCACTCCACTATACAACCATCCTGACAGCCTCAGTGCTGTCAGGAATTGGGATGGGCATTGTATTGAGTACAGTTGTGCTCTCATTGCCTATGATCTACCTAATCCACCATCTGCCATTTTGCAATGCCCACATTATTGCCCACACCTACTGTGAGCACATGGGCATTGCCAAGTTGGCTTGTGCCAATGTTCAAATCAATGCCATGTACGGTCTCTTTGTTGCTTCCTTCCTTGTCCTTGTCCTGGTGCTGGTTGGAATCTCCTATGGCTACATACTCCATACTGTATTCTACCTCAAATCCCCAGATGCCCGTCACAAGACACTGAGCACTTGTGGCTCCCATGCTGGAGTCATGTTTATTTTCTATACACCTTCTCTCTTCTCCTTCCTCACTCACCGATTTGGCCAAAAAATACCCCCTTATGTCCACATTCTTGTTGCCAACATCTACGTCGTTCTTCCACCCGCCCTCAACCCTATTATCTACGGGGTAAGGACCAAGCAAATCAGAAAGTGTGTGATCCAAGTATTTACTGGCAAGTAAGGAACACTATACTCATTGATTTTTAAGATGAAGATCTGCATGTCATGACAATATGGACTTCACCTCCATATTGCTACTTGACAATTAGTTGCCAGTTTATTTGTCCACGTCAGAAAATAGTAACTAGAGCCTCAAAATGACAATGCTATGATCAGATAATCCAAGCCTTGGGAAATACTTACCATTTTAAGTTTGTTGGTAAGTTCTCCTTAGTTTTGCTGATGGGCTGCAGCCTCTGGCTCTGGTAGTTCATTATAATTGAGGGAAAGAGAGCTACAGATCTACAGATGGGTCACTATAATTTGGTGTTGGGAGTTCCTCTGACTAAACTTGGTGTGCCTATAATATAATAGAAGTCTACGTCGAATTTCTACTGATTGGTCTAAGCCTATTCCAATTCTCTATTATAAACATGCAGATAAATTTGGGAGTATATAACAGTCTAGTAATATTCTTTTCAAGGATCATTTTCCAATTTTCCTTGTTCAAAATCTCATGGAACTGTTGCCATCATTTTCCCTGTATTTTATCTCATAAAGACAATCTTAAGAAAATATCTAAAATTGATTTGAAAAACAATCAACCCTTTCTGTTTCCAAAAAACAAAAAAAGATGATTTAAGAATTTAGTTAATCCACTCCCAGGTAAATGTAGAATTAAATGAGAGTATAATTTTTATTCCAAAGAAAGGAAAAGTGATGTTATAAATTCAAATCTGGAATCACCAGTTGGAGTTAGTTTAATTTTTGGCAGTCATCTGTACAGCTTCCACACGAGGCCAATTCTTCACTTCTGGAGTCCACCAACACCCATTCTGGTGTGAACATAATGGGTTTCTAGAAGTGAATGTCATATCATGATAAATATAGGACCTGGAAAGTAATTTTTCTGAGTGAGCTTTAGCTAGTGTTTTGCTGAAATTTTTGTCAGAGTTTGTGGTAAGCATAATTCCTTTCTTTCCCAATGATGACTGGTGAACGGGAACCAATTTCTTTTTCTTTTTTGTGATGTTACAGTTTGGGTAATAATGTAAGTACATGATATTGGGTATCTTAAACTAATTGCCGTGGGGCTGTCTCAATGTTCAGCTTCATCTCCCAGTTTAGGGAACAATACATTTTCAAGTTCCAGGTGGATAGAAACCACAGGTGTAATGTGATTTGCATCACAGCAGAGTGAATGTAGTTTATCCATTAATTAAAATAAAAAAATTAGAATCAATTATCTGATAATACAGTACTATACATAAGTGTGGGGGGGTCTTTGCCCATTTTATTAGAGATAAAGTTTTAATTGCTCCCAGGCCTTACCAACTTATTTGACAAAAGCATTTAATGTATTTTTCCATGTTTTTAGAAAAGTACATGATGAATATTCAATTCTTTGTCATGTGGATTTCACTTCAAGTAAAATGAATTTATAATAATTTAAGAAAAACAATTCTATACTAATATGTGAAGGTAAAGTACATAAAACAAGGGACGATTCTTCACATTATTAAGTGATATTTCAATTTTTAAGTTTATCTTAACAGTTCAGTAAAGTAGAATTCCCTCAAAATATTCTCATGAATTGGAAGCATTTACACCTCCTGCCTAGTGGTGTTGTAAGTTTCACACCTGGCTAAATGTAAAGCTTTTTAAATAATGACAGTTTAAGAAAAACTGAAGCTTTTGTTCTAAAGAACTGTATTGGCCTGATTGTGGAATTTATCTTCCCTTTTCAGCTCCCGTTTTATTTTCATTTGCATTCAAAACGGAGACAAAATAACTCAGTAGAAAGTTATTGAAAATATACCACAAATCTGCCTCATAAACTCAGCTACGTGAACTCTATAAAGCCTTACCAAACTTCATTTAGGAGGAGGAATGAAAGAGCCTAGCGTCCTCCAGGAGTAATTGTTTAGGAGTGAACACTGACATAAGGCAGTCGTAAACTTCTGATAACATAGAAAACAAAATATAGAAGGAAAACATACAAAGAGTACGGGTAAAATGGATCTTTCAAGAACACTGTTGCCAGGTAAAAACTATATAAAATAAACCAACATATAACACAAGTGAATAAAATAATAATTAAAAAATGTGCCTTTAATAGAGTGGTTTCAGCTAACTCTCCTGGTCAAATTCAAAAAGGAAGCTGAAATAATGGTTAGTATGATTTCTTGTCGCAAATATCTCTAAAGGCATACATATAACTATTAATTCAAATATATCACAGACATTATATAAATCTAATGACACAATACAGATGGCTTATTAAAACCTTGGTTGTGGAGGCAAAACTAGGTTTTCCTCCATGACCCATTGTAGCATCTTCATAATTAAAAAGGTGGCCAGTTTATGCCTTTTCATTTTCTCAAGACTGCAAGGAAGAGTTGTTAAAAGCAAAAGGTTTTTAACACTCACCTGAGGAAGTCACATAGTAATATTTAAGGATGTAGATGTCTAAGAACAGGAAGATCAAAGTTTTGAAGAGAACATCGAAACTCAGCATCATTAAGGAATTTCCTGGGCCCACGATGACAGAGTCAGAGTCTTGTAGTGCTGAGATGTGAAATTTTCCACCTATTTTTGTAAAAAAACAACAAAACACTATATCAGCATATTCAGATACATGATTACTGTCATTTTGTTATTGATCTGAAAGAATGGACCTAATTCATAAATACACAAACACTGAAAAATATAAGGGTAAATCTATATTTTAGAATACGCTGTATGTCCATATATAGCCTAATAATGTTGTATTTGGTGTTTTTTTAAGTGTTAAATACATTTAAAATAACATAAATGTGTATGATGTCACATTTTTACCACAGTTTTTTATATTTATTTGGGCCAATGACCTTATCTCTGCAAGTCGTATGAATTTCATTACTCTACTTGACTCAATCCTAGTGTAATGTTGTTGAAGTTTCTTTTGTTTATGTTTACATCACTAGTGACTATAGTAATGCCAATACAAAACAGGCAAGTCATTCAATATTTGTTGAACGAACAATGTGTCTTCAATGGACGGAATCACTATTTTTTCCACATAAAATAATTCCCTCTGGTACTTATGAATGATATAAATACGTTCACCAAAGAAATGTTTATTTAAAACACTGGATTTGATATACAAAATCACAAGAAAAATATATTATTTCATAAAATATGCCTCTCCATGCATGACCTCTTTGTAACCTGGTAAAGGTGTGTACACTTTGTAGGTTCCATCATAAAGCCTTATATGTAGAGAACAATTTTCTGCTTTTCCTGCTATTTTGGCTTGATTCATTAACAATTCATTAACTTTACTTTCTACCACACTTACTGGTTGGATCAGATCTTTACTCCAAATCTTGCAGATGTACAGTAGATACTACAACTGCAACTACTGCTACCACTATTAATAATTATTATTGTTATTGTTATTACCATAATACAGTTTCTAAAAAATTTCTTTAAAGGTAAATGCTTGCTTAATTTCTCTATTTATTCATACATAAATTTAAACACAAAGTGCAAATACTGGGTAGTCAAGTGTCTCAATGTAAGATACTCAGAGAACTTAGTTTGGGAAACCAAAATAATCCACAAATTTATACAAAGTTCAGAATTGTTAGAAACCTAGAAAACAAAACTACAAGTGCTTCTTAAGCAGCCTCCAGAACCATCGGCCCTCATGTGTCTCTTATTCCAACTGAGCTGACATGACAAATCCTTGGTGGGCTCTGTATGAACTCACTGCAGCACAACTCATAATGCTTCACCTTACACCATGTTCCAAACCCCCTTCCCAGAGTCAAAGCTACCAACACTATTAATCAGAAAACGTAATGAGGTGATGCTTTTATTAATGCCAGGTGGGAGCCAGTAGGTAAATCATGTCGTCTTTCCTCTCCCACAAACATCAATCATGAGACACAAGTTCTAAAGAATGGGCCTTGAGATATAGCACATAGTCACTTTTAGCAGCAGCCAGTTCCATAATGCATCATAATCAAGGACCTCCTGCTTTTCTAGTCCCTTTGCCCAGGGCTTTGATTTTTGTGGAAGGGGCTATAATGGAAGGAAGGAATAAGCTGCAATCCCAGTAACTGTTCCAGTCACTCAAGATATCAAATCATGAGAATAACACACCCTCAGAGAATTTAAATATTAGCACTGCCACTAAGGCTTGGTAATAAATCATAAAGTTTTAAATAGATATATGTCACCAAGAAGAGGAATGAAGGAATAACTTTGTAGTCTGATTATTTCCTTTTCCCTAATCAATCACTCTGATAAAAGACCATAGGTTCTTTTAAGGAAAGCTGGAACAAAGATTAAAGTTGTACACATCTGGTGGTGTAGTGGATCCTTCTTCTAGAGGCTCCTGCATCCCCTTCATTCAAGGGGTTCTGAGTCTTTAAACACCCTCAAATCTAAGAAGTGATTGAGCGGCTATGACTCCCTGTGCATGATTCAAGTTAAGCTTTTATTCACTTGATCTAATGATTTCTTTCAAGGCAGATGTAGAAACTTTCAGGTCATTTATGTGGTACTGAGCCAAGAATTCAAATCCCTGAGTTCATCCTTTTCCTTTCCTACTTTTTCCAGTGCTATTAGGAGCAACCAGTCAATCTCATTACACTTAGTGTAACAAAAATGGTCTAATGTATCAAATACATGGTTCACCCAGAACTTTTTTCTTATACATATTTGATTAAGAGTATCCAATAGTGATATTCTGTGGATTTCTATTGCCACATTATGCCATGGACTATCAGCACTCCATTTACCAGTGAATAGAGTCACTAGTGCCTTTAAATCTAATCATATTAGATATCTAATTCCAGAAACTTTGGAACCAATGTAGAAAAGTCATCCTTAAGATCCTTTTCCTCAAGACCCTGCTCTCAGAATCAAAATCTCTATTAGTCAGAGTTCTCCAGAGACATAAAATCAATAGGACATACATATATATTAAGATACATATACATACCACACACATTATCTACCTGTCTCTCTCTC